GATGAGTGAAATAAAAACCACAATAACTTTATAAATTAACACATAACAAAAAGTTACTCAATCCGTTGACCAGAGAAAACAAAAGAAAACAATCTCATTAATGCCACAAAAAGTGGTATGCGTTCCACAAAATGACCCCAGTCGTTAACACTGGCTGACTACAAACCTTTGTAATGTGATATTCGACGATTAAATATCGTGTTTCGAATAAATTTTCACACTTCTCGAAACATTTTGACATCGATTAAACGCTCCCAGCTTTCTCGGGTCCTGCACTTTGAGACTTTTGGCTTAAATTGCGCAGTCACTGAGAAATAATGTTTGCAATAGCAGTCAAATCGCAGCTAATTTGAATTAGTCTTCAATTTGTCAAATGGAAAGATCTATCGTTTCGTAACGATACAAATTGATGTCTGCGGGTGTAAATTAATTAACAAGCTCAAACAATCTTAGGAATTAATGTTTGAAATCTATATTTGACCTTATGTCAATTTAATTTTGTTTTTAAATTGACAAAAAAATATTGTAATACGATTCTGATAATGCTAATTGCTTTAAATTTTTATTTTTATTCACTGTAATTAGTCAGTTTGATGTCAATTTTTGGAAAATGTCTATTAAAATAAACAAATCTATCCTAAAAGTGTACTAAAGTTTACTAAACTATTAATGTACCCCTAATCATCAATTAATTAAAAGAACGACATTATCAAAGAAAACGGCTCGTTTAATTGTCTGCATCAAAGTTTAATTATTAAACATAATGCTTTTATAATTTGACAACATAGCTTACGGCTAGATCACAATGGAGCCAAAAGAAGTAGATCTACTAATTTTAGAGGTCATTTTTGGCTCTATCCTATTTTAAAACTAAGACAAACAGGAAAAATGTCATTGCGATTTTAGACTTTATTTATATTTTACTGTCATTGACTATGGTGAGAATAAAGTTATTTATTATTTATTTATTATTTATTTCAGAGGCAAGTGTGTACCTTTTTTAATTTTCATATTCAGAAGCTAATAAATTACAAAATTTATTGTTAGTGTAGGCAAAACCCTCCACTATGGTGGAGGAAGCTCATAGTCCAGCAGTGGACTGTAAAGGGCTGTTGATGATGATGATGATTGTTAGCTTTAAGACCGAAAGTCTCTTTAACTAATTAAATAATAATATGATTGCAAACAATTTAGAATCTTCTGGTGCTAGAAATCAGTAGGTACATTATCGAGGGGATTCCTCCGATCGTTTTTAGAAACTTATAGAGAGGACTCCGCCAAAAAATTGTAAAATCTAATTTTGTTGTTACAATTTTCACTTGGCGCTCTCCGCGAGCCCACTCTATCACTTTCCACTGTAAAACGTTATCTCGTTACTGTAACACCTTAATTTTAATTAAAAATGTGGGCCTGAAATACGAGAAGGCTGCATCACCCCCATTAATTTCAGTAAACAAGATGTAATAATAATCCTTGCAAATTATAATACGAACAGTGAACTCATTCTGTTCGTAAAGATATCGCTTCACGGCCGTTGGAGATGGCATAAAGTCTAGACGTTACAAAAGTGTTTGCGAGAATTTCTAAGTGCTCGCGATGTTTTGTTGTTTTTGTGACATACTAAAGTGACCTTTACGTAGGACATAAATAAATTGTGCGACTAAAAATATCTTTTAACGCTACTGGATACTGAATGTGACTCGCTTTCGAAGCATTCTCTTTAAAACCAAAAAAATCTATCGGGTTTTATTACTCCCCTGACTAAGGCTGAGTTGCACCACCTAATTTTGGCCGTAACTTTAACGATAACCGGTGTTTTTTTGTAAGGAGTTAGACAGATTTTTGACGTTTGTCAAAGTTAAAGTAAGATGGTGCAATCCAGCCTAAATTTTTTTTTGGCAGATAGTTTGGTTGGACTGTTAATCAGTATGGAAGTGCACGTACATTACATTACACCGATTTGGTATCGACCAATTTCTCATACACATTGGAATCGGCTGACTAAAAATTTGCGGTGTGAAGTGCTTCATTCTGTAATATCTGTACCCCCAGTGAAAAGGGAGCTAAGTCGAAAATGGTGATTTTTGGGAAATCGCATTTGAAGTTAAAAAAAATCCTGCTTCGTCGCTATTAGAGATAACTGGATGAAATATTTTTAGGTGAAAGGTAATATTAGATATGATTAGGCAGTGTGTCAGTTTGGGAAATATAGCATGTGGTTTTTTCGTAATTAAATAAAAACCTAGTTATATCACCATGCACGACAACTTTACATTCGTGTAAAGTGATATAATGGTACATAAATCATTTTACACCACACTGAATTGACCACTCGCTAACAAGTGTAAAGTGATACATTTTACGCCATTTCTGTTGATATTATTTTGTTTCTTAAATTTTAGAAAAAGTTGTAAAACAAACATAAGTAATTACACTATGAGGAATCATTATTTCAGGTCATTTAGGTTAAATAGTTCAAAAAAAAAATACTTATATCAATAAACACCAATTTTGTGGTGAGAAATAAAATGTGTAAACTGATCTAACNTCTTGTAAATTCGATAATGCACTGATTAAGTACTTTTATTGACAACGTTAGGCACTATGAATTCAATTATATGTTTTACTAGTAGATTTATTAAAACTATTAACTAAAGTTCTTTGATTTATAAACTACGACATTATGTTTTCCTTTAATCTGACGTTTGGGGTAAGTTGTATCATTTTACACCAAATAATTAACCAAATTATTAGTTGCGATTTTCAAATGTTTTTGATCTAAGTAACTTACAACATTTTACACGTCATCTTATATTGTTAATCACAAATTCAATCTGCACAACTTCAATCGTGTAAAAAGTAGTAACACGAGTCATACCTCTTGACACACCAAAAAAGTGAAAGAAGCCTCCGGTACACTTTGTTAAAAGTAGACATGTATCAATATACACGAAAGAAAAGTTAACAAAGTCTTACTTGTATCATTTGGCACAAAATTATTTTGTTTTCTATACGTCGTAGAAACATACCGATTAGATACAAAAATAGCTAATTTTTCAGAGATTCACATTATGTTATAAAGTCGATTTTGATCTAAGTCGAGTTAGATCCCTTTTCACTGGGGGTACAGTATCTACTTACATGGCAGTGGTGCATAGGTAGCTAACGCTCACTGAGCTACTGTCAGTGACATTGACGTAAGTAATGTCAATGTCACTCTAGAAACGTCAAATTGGAGGACCGCGCGCTGATGTCTTCGCGCGCTTTTATTCTAAGTTAATTGTATTTAAATGAGGCAATATAAAAGTTAAATATCCAATATTTTTATAAGAATAGATCTGCCGGCTTTTAATACTACTTTAATAAAAGCGCTAGGTATTTTAAAACAAGCCTTTAAAATCACGCCGATAAACTTTCGATTCCCGAATCCGAAAACTGATTCGTTAGCCTGAATGCCGAATCAATGTTTTGACTCGATTATCGAACACCGAACCGGTGCGAAACACTCCCCAATATTCGTATCAATTACCGCTCTCTTCACTCGCTCGTTCTCAAAATACACTCGACATCAAATAAATCGCACCTCCCGCGAAAAGCACTTTGAAACGTATGCATCCCCATTTCCCACCAATATTGGTACCATTTAAAAGCCTAGTTCTAAACTTCATTTCATTAAAGGAAAGGTTTTTACCACAAAAATGTGTCTCAAGAAGGATCCAGAGTCACTTCTTCAAAAAATAGGTAGTTATGCTTGAGCCAACTTTTATGGCTATAAAACTGTTAAGTTAGGATTAATCGCTATCCATCTGTTATGCTAATCATTTAGTAAGAAAATAAATGTGTTTTTCTTTAAGGATATTTATTGGGCATTCAAATAACACCAATATTGTTGCGGCACCATGATTGTGTCAGAAGAAAATCTTTAAAGTTTCATCGCGGAAGGTGCGGTTTATTTGATGTTGAGTGTATGATCTGAATTGCAAATAGGGACTTTTTTCGTACTAGTGTACCTAAATTGATCTAATTGGGAACTCAGCCTTACCAATAGTTCGTCGGGTCCTTTTGAACGTTACAATTAAGTTGCTAAGTGAAGATTTATAATGTTCTGATAAAAAAAGTTACGACTTTGAGACTTCTTTCAAAGTCAAAGTTGACAAACAATTACAAAAGTCTAGTGAACTACTCGTGTGAACTATGTACTCGTAATCGTAATAGGTACTATGTAGATCGCTAAAATCAAGTGGCAGTGGGCGGGGCACATAGCTCGAAGAGCTGATGGCCGCTGGGGCAGAAAAGTTCTTGAGTGGCGACCACGAGCTGGAAGACGTAGCGTGGGCAGGCCTCCCACTAGGTGGACCGACGATCTGGTGAAGGTCGCGGGAAGTACCTGGATGCAAGCGGCGCAGGACCGGTCTTTGTGGAAATCCTTGGGGGAGGCCTTTGTCCAGCAGTGGACGTCTTTCGGCTGAAACGACGACTATGTAGATATAGGTATATTATGGCTTACGAAAAAAAAGTTTAAGTATGTGTTAATAAAAATATGTTTTTTCAGGGAGATAGAGCGGTTAAAATTACACATTTTTCCTCATTGTTCAAAGTACAACTGTCCTAAAAGTGAGTAAACACTACGAATAGAGCATTTCTATGTAATGTACCTAGCTTTCTTGCAAATTGTACAATACAGATAAAATGTATGACGTTTGGTTCATGACAGGGTGTGGACACTAGACATTTCATAGAGCGTCTCGTTGTTTCGTGACAAGTAAATGCTCGTCTATACTCAATATCAATATAGCACCCTTAATTAAAAAAAAAACTATAGTTTAACTATACATAACGTTTTCGGTAATGGCACATTAGCGTTGTTTTACTTATAAACGACATTCACAAGCACAAGTTTCAAATGTCCACAACCTATCAAGTACCACCGTGGTTCATAAACGGAATCGCTTTAATTTAGTCATAAATGTCGCTTTATTGACCATTATGCTTTGTTACAGGTACCACTGGCTGCTGCTGCCGCTCTTAACGACCCTGTGCTCGGCTAACGACGGATTGTTTGGCTCCAAATTCCAAAGCGGTGAGGGAATATTTTGGTTTTTATATGTGCACAATTTTGTGTGTTCATCATCATCATCATCATCATCATTTTCAGCTATAGGACGTCCACTGCTGAATATAGGCTTCTCCCAATGACATCCAAAAAGAACATAGCGACAGCTTTGTGTTATTTTAATAGACAATTTGACACCATTCCCCAATAATTCGAAATCACAACTTTTTTAAAAAGACACTTCATTCTAGTCCTAAAAACTTAATTAATTTAAATTTACCTGTAAATTCCCAATTTTTTTCGCATTGTAATTGAAAAAAGTAGTCTATTTGAATTGACTAAATAGTGATGTCACTTGCTTGTAGTGCCAGGCCATACAAAATCTATGGGAGAGTTTCGTTTTGACAGTTTTAAAAAGTACGTCAATTGATTGGTGGTGTCAACATGTCTATTTCTGATAAGATGTGCTATAAGTACGATATTTATTTGCTGTACCAATTGGAACTCAATTTATAAATGGAAAATTATTAGGCTTATTGTCAATTTGTGTCGAAGCAACATCAATATACCAAACCAATCCAACTCACAACAACGGATACCCAAAAATATCTCGAATTCACGTCCAGATTACAAATTGCCTTTAATGTGTTAGAAATAAAAGCGGGCCAAACAAACGATTTGTGAAAACAATAAAACTGTCAATCCAACTTGTTCACAACATAAACATGGATACGGGAAGAAAACCAATTTTAAATGCAAATTGTTTCCAGTCCAGTCGGCGAGGGATCAATAAGCTCAAACTGTATTGATTTTACAAGGAATTTTCCTACAATATAACGAAGCATAGAGGCTAGACTTTACGTCGTTATTATCTACTTATTGAATCAAATACTAAGTTATGATGGCTTGGCGTTTCGACTGTATTATGTAACTCAAAATCAATAATTTTGCATTGCCACCTATGTTTTCTCTATTGAAAATTTATTGAAATGGGACGTGAAAGTTTAAAATCTTATAATTAAAATACTAAATTATGTTCATTCATGATTATTAGACTTTGTATTGTCTTTAGGTATGATTTTGGTCAACTGCAGCACAGAATAAATAATAGTAGTACCTACAGAAGGATTACTCCGCAAGACGATTTAAATAAATGCGAGTCTTGCTACCATGCGATACAGTGTAATTCAGCTCGCACAGCACTACGTACCTACAATTTTATTCACCTACAAGTTTTGTCTCTTTCTATCGCGTGTCTCTGAACTCTTCTTACGCTGCTGTTAGGGTTGCTATGCTGTCGAGTGAAAAAATAGAATTAATCTACTTAGGTATTCGTAATGAGGTAGGTACGTATGTAGGTAAATATTAGGGTTATTTTACCTTTGTAAAAATAACTTTTTAAATATACCTGCTTAGGATAAAAAAGTACTTATTTTAATACAATATCTTCATTCATACCTATTTTAACATTTAAGATACTATCACAGAAGAAAGAATGACATCATACCTACCTACTTACTACGCAAACACGAAACGGCTACATCCTAGAACGAGAGGCGTCACCCGAAAATCATATTTGTATTTGGCTTTGCACAAACTTAATCTAATGTTACTCGCTGTACTTTGGCAACAATTTATTTTTTACTGAATATTGTTGGGGTACCTCCTATGCATTATGGTAAAAGAACTAGCTTGTCGTAATTTGGTGTATCGATGTTACTCTTCCGTTTCATTTACCTACACGGAAATGTAATAGTTAGTATTTTAACGATAAAATTCTTAAAACATCATAAATTGTATTCAAAAGAAATTATTTATTAAAGGCAAAACATCAAGTCGGCGCTTCGCTGTAGGTAATTATCGGATGTACCGCGCGGAGTGAGCCAGGCCTGACTGCAGTTAGGTCCTACGCGCATGATCCTGCTCAGAAATACTTATTTTGTTTACACTAGCATTTTAGTTTTCATAGTGTGAACACGAGATAAGTACGGAGAGCGATACAATTCTCACTCAGTCCTAGGTACTTATTATTAAGAATAATTATAATTATTTTCGATAAACAGGAAAAAACTCATTTACCTTTTGTTGAAAACCCCTCCCTTTTGTGTCCTATATCTCAGTTATTATCTCTAGGTATACCAAAGTGCGTCTAAATTCTTTCAGCGGTTTAGGGGTCAACACGTAATGACTGAAACGTAACTGGATCATAAAAGTGTATTTAATAAAACTAAATGAGTTGAAAGGTCAAAAAAAAGTACTTAAAATATAAATTGCAAGTACGCTTGCCTTTACGTTGACGACTTAATTTCCGGAAAGCTCACTTACTTAACTGACACTTTGATGGTGAGTTTATTAAAATATTTAGCATGAATAATGGGAAATGTGTTTTCACATTAACAGAAAAGGCGACTTCACAAAGGGTTGTAATTACTGGAAGCAACTCATTACATAAGAAACGTAATTATTCTACGTAACTTTCTTGCGCTTAAAATACTCGTAGGTACTAGACTTTCGTGCTTTCGGAGAAGCGATTATTTTATTTTAAATATAAAACGGTATTTGCATCAATTAAGATAAAATAAATTCAGGCTACCAACCGGGCTATGTGGAAACCATTCGAGGAGGCCTATGTTCAGCAGTAGACGTCCTGTGGCTGAAATGATGATGACGATGATGATCCGAATCCGAGAAAGCTAGATAAGTAGACTTAATAATATACGCAAACTCTCTCAATGAGTTTTGATTACTTTGTGTTTCTAATGTCGTTTTAAGGTCATGTAGCCTGTTCATGTCCACCAGACATCAAATGACTCTATTAAAATAGTAGAAAGAACAAGACACATTAAAATCGAAAGCCATTAAATTGACTGTATGGTCTAGTGTTTTCAGGGTAATCCATCGTTTGGACGATAATAATGCGGTGTAAGTAAACACGCTACATAACCCTAGTTGTTTTACAAAGACAAAATAACTGAAAGAAGTCCTCCTAAGTTACATAACTAACTCATTCCATCCGTTGGCATGACGATACATATAAAAGATTTGTATACCTTAGGCCTTTATAGCGCAATAGCTTTAAGTACGCTATTTGCCACACAAAGCAGACAACGGCCGTGTTAATTGTCCCCGCTGAAAACAATTCGTATGAAAAGTGCCAGCGTTCATGCCATTTCTCAGTTTAATTTTGTTTTATGCGAGCGAGGTGAACTGCCAAGTTCCACAGAGAAGAAAAATAACTTTTTTTATATTGCACCCGCCATTTTATATTCATGATTCGTGATGTTGTAAGACCCGCATTACGGACGGATACGGGAAATATAAACAACTGGTAAAGTACACAGTAAAATAAAACGCGGAACTAAATAACACTGTAGATGGGTGATTAACAGTCGAGTATGAAATTGTGCCTGTTACCCTAAAGAATGGCATTATTTTTGTATATTGCGAAAGATATATTTATTATTTACTGTACCAAGCCAAGTGCAAATGCCCTTCGTAATGTTTTTAATTTATTTTCAGATGTTCCCGAATACGACCTGCTGCACGCTATCGGCGTTCCTTTCAGCAACCCAAAGACCCAATACTTCGACGAAGGCCTTGACGGCTTCCCTGCCTATGGTCTACGACCAGGCTCAGACATCAAGTCTCCATACCGCCTCTTCATGCCTGAGAAGCTTTACCCCGAATTTTCTATCACTGCTACTGTCAGACCAGCGAACAAAGATGGCGGATTTTTATTCTCTGTAGTCAATCCATTAGAAACGGTTGTCCAATTGGGGGTTCAACTGATCCCTTCAGGTCCTGGTCTGACCAATATATCCTTACTGTATACCGACGCAAATATTTACGCTCTTTCCCAAACCATCGCGTCGTTTGTAGTGCCATCTTTTGCCAAGAAGTGGAGTCGTTTCGCGATGAGGGTCACAACCGACAATGTGACGTTGTTCCTGAACTGTCACGAATTCGACACGGTTGCTGTGAAGAGGAATCCACTGGAGCTGGTCTTTGATTCAGCTTCTACGCTGTATGTTGGACAAGCTGGACCACTCATCAGGGGAGCTTTTCATGTAAGTACTTAGACTAATATTTACGCCATGTTAGGTATTTCTTTTCAGTGAATAATTTTCTAATTTTAATTTTACTATACTGTTCTGATGTTTATCGACCGTTGACCGCCTGTTTAGGAAAATGTGTGTCGTTAATATAAAATGTAACATAATGCTTTTACGCGTTAATATTTTAAAATGTAGGTGATCCATTATATTTCATGAACATTTTATGAAAACAATGTCGTAGGTCTGATATTTTTTGATAAATTAAGCCTTTTCTACGACAACTTATTGTGTTTCGTTTTGGTCCATTTGAACATAACTTTCCGAGCTCATAGAAATGAAACCCGATTATTATTGAAGACCACAGCCTCCGGTAAGTCCAAGTAAAGTTAACTTTTGCCGTTCCACGAAATAATCGGCCTATAAGCGAAAAGTAACTTTCCTATTAACCCCAGGAACACGAACTCAGCAAACATTCTTCTAACTCGCTAACTTGTTTATTATAATCACCTTAACCGCAACAAAAACGGACAAAGTAGATTCACTGTCAAATATTCCACCTGCTTAATGTGAATATTAACTATCGTTATTAGTTTAATTAAGAGAATAGTAGCAAGACTAAAGCGGTTCGGCTAAAAATATAAATCAATTTATTATTTAAATTCCTTTGTTAANACATCCTTAGCGAATAGAGTCGCTTCTCATACTAAATCGTACTGCCTAAGGACTGTGAAGGTAGTGGGTTCGAGTCCCGCCTTAGGCAGTTCGATTTTTTCAAGTTGTTTATTAAAAAAAAATCAATTAATTTAAAAAGTAATCTTCAGGAACAAACATCTACATCATGTACTTATTAGGTGTTTTCTACTGCTTTAATTTAAGAAAGTGATGTTTAATTTGTATTTTGTAAATGTGAACTTTAGCTGCCGCTTTAAAGAAAAATATGAATTTGAATCTTGACTCAGACGTGAACCTTCTGTATCAACCTACAGAATGTTACCAGATTAAAATCACTTTTTTTACTGAAAAACTTCCTTAAACCATTTCATGAACAGTAAAAGACGTAAAAATACACTTTTTTGATATAATAATAGCAACAAAGGATGGGGCTTCTTTTTCAAGTTTTTAGAAAGAGCGTGCTAAGAACGAAAACACTCTTTTAATATATTTGAAACGAACTAGGTATTTAACCTTTAAGCCATGTAGCCTTTGTTAAATCATAATAAAATGGCAAGCAGTAGAGTAACTAGGTACATACCTAGACAATAATATTTCATCCACATAGGACGTCCACTGCTGAAAATTGGCCCCTATGATTTCCATAATGACCGGTTGGTATCTTAGTGAGGCCGTCGGTCCACCTTGTGGGTGTATGTCTTACGGTGCGCTTTCCGGTACGTGGCCTCCACTCAAGAACGTTGCGTCCCCATCTGCCGTCAATTCTGCGTACTATGTGCCCTGCTAAACTTTGTTTTAAAATTGGTGTTAAATAAAATGTAATTATGATTAATTACATTTTATTTAATTTTGAAATAATTTTGAATACGAAAATAACATTCATAGCGATGCCACAGTGTTCATTGTTGTTCCGTCATATTTATCAAATGTTTGTAGGTACAAACACGCCAACCCTCGTTATTTGGACAAAATATAATAAACGTCATCAATTAGTAGCAAACAATAGTGGAACTAATAGTAGCGGCCTAGTGGACTAGATAACGAGCCCATCTATCATCTGACTTCAGTACGGATATTCCTTTATGCCTTGTTCCAGCCCTAGTGTTGGGCGGACTGTTCTGGAGTCGCTCGAGATGATGCGAACGCTAGAGAATACGTTTTCGATACTCTTCATACTTAGATAGTAGAGCGTGAAATTTTATCTTTATAATCAGTCTTGGCCGACTCCATATTACCCAGTGACCTCAATAGAGAGATGGTTTACGGTTATCATCATACCTACATTATTTCATTTATGATATAATCAACAGCACATCAGATGTTTATTATTATTTTTTTGCAAAATAGCACCTACATAAGATGCCCCATGTTTACCCTTGACGTGCTTTCGTATACATTTTAAAAATACAGATAATTTAAATCTAACAAGAATTAGAATGATGCAAGGCTTGACCGTATCATCCACCAAGTAAATCCAAAATACCTACTCAAAGTAAACTAAGTATTTTGTAATTAAGTAAGCACTTATGTATTTGTTTCATTATGATCAAGTTCAAATTTTGTGCTACGATTTTATAAATTACACTTGAACTTTTTAATTTCTTCAGTTTAAGGAACAATAAAAGCTGTAATCGTCTTATACTAATGAAGTAATGAACGTAAAATAAATCGCATACGACTCTCCGTAATAGAAATAAATCGCTCGATCCCATAATACCTCCCCTGTTATAGGGGGTGGCCACGCGTCCCGTTTTATCGCATGCCTTTGTAAACAAAGCCGCTTTTACTAGAGACAGATAAACAAAATTCTGTCGCGAAGGTTCGGGTTAACAATGTAGTCTGACACACAGCTGAAAAGACTGACGAGCTTTTTCTTTAATTAAGGAGCTCGAATAGCTTTTCAACTTTTCTGTAAAATAGCAGGCTCAAAACAACTGATTTGTTGTCATATTTTACGATTGTTTTGTTATTATGTCTCAATGTAAGGGGTCCTTGCAACACTGGATTTTCATCACCCATACTGTATAACAGGGGTGGCCAACTTGATTAGACATAAGATCTACTGTTTACTAACGAAACCCTGGGTGATCTACCACTTACATACTTCTTGAAATCTTAAATGAAACAGCATAGTTTAGTACAAATCATGTAGTATTTTTTGCCTTGCCACGATCGACTGGACTAATAGTCGCGATCGACCATCGATCGACCACCCCTGCTGTATAAGATACGAATATCATGAATTTCAGGCAAATTGCAATGCACTGCTGAACATAAACGTTTCATCCAACCACTGTCAAATACCGCTTTGAGGTCATCGGTTCATCTAGAGGTGGGGCGGGGAAACGTAAGCTATTTGAGACTGACTAACAGTAAGAGGTCACTAAAAGTGTACAAATTAACCCAACTTAGGCCTATTTATAAGTGAGCTTACATGTTGGCAGCTTCACTTAAACTATTTTTGCTTCATGACCGTCGCACCATTATTTTCCAAAGCGAACGTATTGTGTCGAAATACCAGTCGTGTTATGTCTCTAAATATTTCACCTCCTTTTAGGTGCAAGGGATTATTTCTACATGAATACCATGCTGGAGTAAAGTCTATAGATAATGGGAAGTAATGCTAAATAGCTTTGCTCATTGTTATGGGCTATAAGCATTTTGGCCTCACATTGTGTGGACTGCAGTACATTTTGTGTTTTATTGTGCCCGTTTTATTGGAGTTATGGCGTGTGTTTTAAAATTATTGGAGCAACAATGTTCTTTGTTACGTTAATTTTGGGGGTCATGTAATGTTAACATTTAGCAAATGACACTCTATGGTAATGATTATACAGGGTGGTAACGATAAGTGATTTCACTCGATTATTCCTAAACTATATAAGATATTGAAAAACTGATTACTGATTCTGAAAGTGCTTCACGAGCTCTTTTTAACGGTATCAATAATAGGTTATCCGAAAATTCAATGAAAATTCAATAATTGACTGAAAATCAGTCTGCATAACTTAAAATGACCTAAAGAAGAAATGGGAACCAAAGACCCACCAACGTTACATTTATTTTTGTCAGTACAGCAGAAATTAAAATACCACCTCATTATCTATCGCGACTTAAACTTAATCCGAAGTTTCCAACCCAAGAGTTTTACATTTTATTTTTAAGCTACCTGCCTTGAAGCCCTACTATCAACTCGGAAGAAAATTGCTCAGTGAAGTGAAAATAGAAAATCTTTTTTTTTTGTTTCCGAGAAGTCTGTTGACTTATTCAGTCAACCAATTACTGATAACGTTTTGTTAAATATAATAATTTGAGTTGAGTATGCTCTTGATTTGCCACTTTTTTGACAAGTCGTATTTGGAAAAGACATACCTAATACCATCCATTATTGCACTACTAAGTTATTCAAGAGACATTAGTGCTATAAAGACTATTTTAGACCATAGATTAAATAGGATATTAAAATACAGGCTGAGTTGCACCACCTAACTTTGACCGTAACTATAGATAACCTGTGTTTTTTGTATGGAGTTTGACAGATTTTTGTCGTTTGTCAAAGTTAAAGTAAGATGGTGCAATCCAGCCAGTTATAAAACCTACTTTAAGTAACGATTTTAATCCAGGTTAGTTTAATCCTAAAAATATATTTAGATAAAATATTCATACGAACTATAAAAAAGACTTTTGTAACTCCTCAAGTTCAGTAGTAGGGCCTCAGGTGGCGGGCTAAGTTCGCCGGTAGCCTGACATGGGCAGAGTTTGCATATCAAATCTTGTTAGTACACCGGGTCTGCGTCGAATAACTTTGGCCTATTATTGCGGATTCGGGTCGGATTCTGAGGATGCGATGTAAGACAATACACGTTTCTAGTGTTAGGACTTAGATTGACAATGGCTTTACGTATCGATGACTTTGTAGATGATTGTGGCAACCACCGTGGGGGCGTTACATACAACCCTAATTTAAAGGGAATTAAATATGATATCGTTTGCTATAATATAGTATGCTCCTGATTTCCCAGTTTTTTTAATTTTTCATATATTTTTTTTTAGTTTTATACAAAATTATAAAATCCGATTTGTACAAAAAATAAAATATCTTATCAATATTCTGACTACCTACACCATACCATTTATATGCCCATGTTAACATGGGCTAGTGTCGGCTCATATGCCCATTTACCTAACACCCTGTATAATAGGTACCTAACTAAAACTTAATTTAAGCTTACAAACGAACAGCTCTATTTCAGTCCTGTAGTCCTGTATCTTTTACCAAATTATGAAGACTTATATTTAGTTATACTTAATAACACGATTCTAATTGCCACTTCTTTCTAAGGACAAAAGCC